TGTGCTTGGCATACTGTTCTATAACTTGTTTTTTCCCACTGAATATTTTACAGGCATTTTGCCACATCAGTGTCTGTGAGTCTGTCTGCAACATTCTTTTTAAATGACTCTATCATGTGGATGAATTGGAGTTGATTTATGTCATCCCCTCTTGATGGACATTACATCACTTCTCATTTTCTCATGTTCTAAACTTGTGTTGTTCAGGATGCTAGCCACCAGCCACTTGTGGCAGTTTAACTTAATTCAAATTAAATGATGTGTAAAAATGAGTTTCGCAGTCACATTAGCCGTATTTCATGTGCTCCATAGCTCGGTGTGAGTAGCACAGATGGAGAGCTTTCCCATCATTATGTAAAGATGTATTAGACAGTGCTATTCTAATCTGCTGGTTTTCAAACTTCTTTTTGAGTGCATGTTCCTTTCTTTTATTCATCCATTCTTCATCCCTTCGATAAATAATTATTAAGTGCCTCCTATGTGCTCGGCATTGTGCTAGGTACTTCGATATATCATTCATAAAACACTTGCCCTCATAATGCTTAATATTCTATCAGTGAAAGGTTTTAACTGCTTCTAATAATGTATTTTTGGTTTAGTTGCTAAGTCATGTCCAACTCTTGCGACCCCATGGACTGTAGCCTGCCAGGTTCCTCTGCCCGTGAGATTCTCCAGGCAAGAATACTGGAGTGGGTTGCCATTCCTTTCTCCAGGGGGTCTTTCTGACCCAGGGGTTGATCCGGGTCTCCTGCATTGCAGGCAGATTCTTTACTGCCTGAGCCACCAGGGAAGCCCTCTATGTATTCTATATCATGCTGTTACATTTTAAAACATGTTAAAATATGAATGAAAACAAATAAGATAAAAATGTGCAAAATTCCACTGTAAAAATTTTTTTATTAGGATATAGTTGATTTATGGGCTTCCCAGGTGGCTTAGTAGTAAAGAATCTGCCTATCAAGCAGGAGGCAAAGGTTTGATCCCTGGGTGGAGAATATCCCCTGGAGAAGGAAACAGAAACCCACTCCAGTGTTTTTGCCGGGGAAATCCCATGGACAGAGGAGCCTGGCAGGTTACAGTCCATGAGGTCGCAAAGAATTGGATGTGACTGAATGACTAAACAGCAGCGGCGGTTGATTTAAATGTTGTGTTGCTTTGAACTGTACAGAAAGTGAATCTGTTGTAAATACACGTATATCCACTTGTTTTTAGATTCTTTTCCCACATAGGCCTATGCAGAGTACTGAGCAGAGTCCCCTTTGCCACACCGTGGTCCTTACCAGTTATCTCTTTTAAAAATGTACATAATTTCTGAAGTAGTCTTTCTGTGTCCCACCATGGGAGCCACTGTCTCTAATGGTGCTCTTGGACCAGGCAGTTATCTCTAAAGCTTCTTCCAGTACTGAAACTGAACTGTTGTCACATTTTAAGTAGGTCTTTGATTTTGATATTTGTAGGCTTTTTCCTATACTATTTGCATTTGTCCTTATATATTTATTTAGCAAGAATTTATTAAGTTCATACTGTATGCCAGGTAGGTGCCAGGAGATTGAACAGGTCAGGGTTCCTGCCCTCACATGAGACAGGCTTGCACATCAGTTATTTCTGATACCAGGTATTATGGAAATGCAGCGAAGGGACATATAAAAAGGGAGATGGCTTGGCAGAACAGAGGATGTGTGCTGTTTTCTCACGTACTCAGTTGCTCAGTTGTGTCCAGCTCTTTGCGGCCCCTGGACTGTGGCCCGCCAGGCTCCTCTGCCCGTGGAATACCGGCGTGGGTTGCCATGCCCTCCTCCAGGGGATCTTTCCCATCCAGAGACCAAACACGTGTCTCTTGCATCTCCTGCATTGGCAGGTGGGTTCCTGGTTTGGCAGAACAGAGGATCATTCTCATGAACATGACTCATTTGTGGATTGCACTCTGTTGTGGGACTTAATGGAATCATAGATTTGTCCAACAGGTAGTTTTTTTCTTCCTGGTATTTTCCTTTCTCTTGGAAAATATAAAATCATAAGCCATTGATTTAAGAATATGTAATTACTGTTAATTTTCCCATTAAGCATCTTTATGTTTAACTGTTACCTTTCAGTTTTTAAAATTAGATCTTCGGGTTGGAGAGGCTTTACATAGGACAGAAGCTAAGTAGAAATAATTAGGTAGCTCCTGTTGTTTGAGAGAGGGAAGCAAAATCACCCCCCAGAGGTGTGTGTTTATTCATACTTTCATTTAACAAATATTTAAGAAAATACCTTCTATGTAGAAAAAACATTTCATTCCAAAATAATTTCTCAAGAGGCTTTTAGTTAGGGAATTCTGAAGAATATAAAGGATAATAAATACTATTCACCGAAAATTTACAAATGAAAAACTGATCATGTGTTTTTTGTTTCCTTTCTTTCAGGGCAAGTTAAAGTGTTTAGAGCTCTTTATACGTTTGAACCCAGAACTGTAAGTATATTGGTTCCAATACTGACATAAAGGGATTTTCCCTGGCGGTTCAGTGGTTAAGACTCTGTACTTTCACTGCAGGGGACACAAGTTTGATCCCTAGTCAGGGAATCCTGCATGCCACAGGGTGTGACCCTGAAGGTGATTTCATTTAGATACTTCCTTTTGTCTTAAATGGCCATGACCTGCTTCAATCCTTCAGTTGACTATGGACAGAGTCTCATGTGGTTCAGCCCCCTTCCCAGCCCTCCTGTCCTCTGCTCCTTCCTCTTGGTGGATTATTCCAGTCGAAATATGGTGCACAGTAGAACTCACCTCTGACCTCTTTATAGACCTATGGCTCTGCATCCCTATAAACTCTGATTACACCCTTCCTCTTCCATAAAGACTTTCTGATCATCCCCCAGTGGAGTGGGATGTCTCTCGCTGCTCTGAATTCTACGCTTGGCTTGAAATCCTGCTCACCAGGACAGTGTCTAGGGTGGAGAACACAGGGGTTTCAAGCTGCCAGTAGCTTTAGGACCCAGTCTGCCTCTTTTAACAGCTGTGTGACTTGTTAAATTCAGAAATTACCTAACCTCTGTGCCTCTGTGTACACTTCTGTAAAGTGAAAGTAATAATAATAATTTCATAGGATTTTAGTGAGAATTAAGTGAGATTATTGTGTAAAGCTGCTATTACTATTAAGCAGTCATTGTTACTATTAGAAGAAGTAGTGATTTTTATATTCACAGACTCTGGTTGTTTAGTCACTAAGTCGTGTCCAACTCTTTGTGACCCCATAGACTGCAGCACGCCAGGCTTCTGTGTCCTTCAGTATTCCTCGAGTTTGTTCAACCTCATATCCATTGAATTGGTGATGCCATCCAACCATCTCATTCTCTGTCTCCCCCTTCTTCTCTTGCCCTCAATCTTTCCCAGCATCAGGGTCTTTTCCAGTGAGTCAGCTCTTCACATCAGGTAGCCAAAGTATTGGAGCTTCAGCTTCAGCATCAGTCCTTCTAATGAATATTCAGGGTTGATTTTCTTTAGGATAGACTGGTTTGATTTCCTTTCTGTCCAAGGGACTCTCAAGAGTCTTCTTCAGCACCACAGTTTGAAAAAAGCATCAATTCTTTGGCACTCAGCCTTCTTTATGGTCCAACTCTCCAATTCTCTTAACACATATTTTTGATTGGTTGTAACATTGATTACTTTAATTCAACTCCAGTTCTACTCCAAGATGGAACCTCTGCAGCTTTTTAAAAATCTTAGTTATTATCAAATGCACAGGAGAAAATCGACATTTAATTCATTGCATGCTAAGTCGTGTCCAATTCTGTGCGACCTTATGGACCATAACCTGCCAGGTTCCTCTGTCCATGGGGATTCTCCAGGCAAGAATACTAGAATGGGTTGCCATGCCCTCCTCCAGGGAATCCTCCCAACCCAGGGTTCGAACTTGTATCACTTTTATCTTTTGCATTGGCAAGTGGGTTCTTTACCACTAGTGCCACATGGGAAGCCCATTTTAATTCATTAGGGTCTTTGTTTTTGGCCACACCACACACCTTACTGAACTTCCCCAACCAGGGATTGAACATGTGCCCCCTACGTTGAAAGTGTGGAGTCTTAGCCACTGGACCACCAAGAAAGTCCCTAACTCATTAGGTTCTTTGCATATTCCCTATTTAACATGCTGTTTTTAATATCCATGGTCCCGAGGATCCTGGGCTATAGAGCAGTGCTGCTAATTCATTCTGTATGCACTAGATGGTCATTAATGACTACCCCATGCCCTGCTGGCCCCACACTCTGCTCCGCTCCATCTCCCCTCAATCCAGATGTTAGTGGGGAGGCATCTGGCTGAGCAGGTAGCCCCTAGGTCTTAGGGGGTCTTCCTGACTGGTTAAGTGCCCGTGCTTTACCTGTTGTTCAGTGTTTTGAACATCATCCCAGAACTAGGTTAGTCTTATATTCGTTTTCTGAATGAGAATTTCTGTTGGACAAACTCAGTTTGGTCTCTCTCCCCTGAGACCAAGTAGCTGTCTTCTCTAGTGGGATCAGTATACCCCCAGTACATCCTAAACTCACCAAGCAAGTTGGAAGGGCTGAGCTGTGAGACCATTGCTCACATGTGCAGCACCCCAGGAAGACCTGGGTCCAGTTTTTTGCTATTGTACTACTCTCAGGAGTAGGCACAGAAATGCCTAACTTTCTTGATGAGCCACTGAACAAGTAGGACACTGGAAGCTTGTTGCTCCTGGTTCTTCTGGCCAATCTATTTCTTCTCTGTCTTGCTCGAAGGTAAGGTAGTCCTGGCACTACCAGCTTTGTTTGGCTCTCATTTCTTGCCCAACTCTCAGTCTAATCAACCGCCGTTTAGAGGTCCTGCAAGACTGGATAGACCAGTGTAAAGTTGCACTGATGCAGAGAGAGCAGAGTTTCCTGTGTGCTGGATTTGTGTTGGTTTCTGCAAGGAAACCAGTAGGACCCACCTCTATCATATAGTGCTTGCTGGGCTTCTCTAGGTTTACAGCACTATCTGTAGTGGAAGGAGCCCTAGAATGGGATTCCAAAAGCTAAAGTAGGAGTCCAGTCCTACCGCTCACACAGTGTGTGATTTGTGGCAAGTTCTTGAACCTTTCGGAGCCTGGTTGTGAGATGGAGATTATACCCATGACCCAGCCCTGCCTTAATGGATTGTTGTAAGGATCAGATGAGATTAAGTATGCTTTGCAAGTATATGGTACTGCTGTTGGCTTTGCTGTATTGCATTATGTTGGGGTAGGGTAGGGAGAAACAAGAGATAATTTCCACAGCCATTGCCTTTTATCCTGGTTATGACACCATGGCAACCAGTAATGGCTATGCAAGATGCTCCGATATGACGGAAAGCAGAGGTGGCAATGAAGGACAGGGACTCCAGGATCTGCCTGTCATGGTTCGAGTTCAGTGTCTGCTATGTGTCTGATGTATGGTCTTGGACAAGCTTCTTAGTTCTGATGTGATGATAAGAATAGCACCCACTTCACAGTGTTACTGGTGAGATTATAAGAGTCCAGATCTGTGCCTGGCACATGGTAGTACTATAAAGTGCTAAATGAAAGCATCTGTAGTGAATTTGATTTTTTTTCTTTTATTAATTCCCTTGGCTCCAGATTGACAAAAGTGAAAAATTTCAAAAGGATGTCATAGTCTTTCCAAAAATTTTCATAAAATATATATTTGCATAAACCAAGAAAATTAATGCCCTGAGAATTATATGTTACCAAGAATATATGGAAGAGGAACAAGGATATACATTACCAAGTTTGTACTCATCCCCATAACATCCCAGTGGCCAACGAGTAACTTGTTCTAATACCTTGTGGTTTTTCAAGGAGAGAGGAAAAAAAGAATATGGTTAAAAAGCAAAGAACAAACTAGAAATAGAGAAGTGCTTACTTGGTTGTGTCACTCTTTTCCCATCATGTTCCGTGAATATGATGCCAGGAATTTAAAAGTAGATCCTCATTGAACAGTTTACATTAAGTGTCCCACAAGTGGTTTCTTAATGGAAAATATGAATATTGGAGATAAAAATCTAACTTTTAAAACCATGAAATTGCCTTGTTGTCTATACTGCCAGCAGTCTGAAGAATTTGATGGAGCACCTCCTCAGCTCAGTTAGGAGAAACTGCTCCTAGTTTCTATGCAAGAAGATATTTTACTCTTACTAAAGAGTAGCATTTGTGTGTCTGGGAGCTATTGATTAAAAAGAAAATAAACCATCCATTCTCTTTTATCTGGATGAAAAATAGCAAGACTTTTTTTACCTGACTGAAATCAACTGCCTGTTGTTGCTGCCTTAGTTGGAAAACAAGTCTGATCTAATACATGGCTGAGGCAGACACTGCTACTGAACGGCATTCACTAATTTACAATCTGAAATAGTGCTGAGAAGTTTTGAAATGACTGTACTTGGTGACATTTTTCAAATCATGCATTTTACCAAACCATGAATGACAATAATTATTTGAGACCATATAATTTAAAATATTGAGGTAAAATTCACATACAATTAACCACTTTAAAATAAACAATTCAGTGACCTATAGGCGCAATGTTGGGGAGCTGTCACCTCTGTCTAGTTCCAAAATATTTTCGTTACCCCCAAGGAAAACCCTGTACCCATTAAATGCTTACCTCCCACTCTTCCAGGCTTTATTCCTTTTTATGATGAAGACTAGTTACAGGGATGTGTGTGTGTGTGTGTGTGTCTGTATGTCTGTGTGACTGTGTATTCTTTGTTTCTTTTTAAGTCATTTGGTTCTTTCTTAAAATGTGTCTTTTGTTTCAAGGGTGAATGATCTTATTAAGNCAGTCCTTCCAGTGAACACCCAGGGCTGATCTCCTTTAGGATGGACTGGTTGGATCTCCTTGCAGTCCAAGGGACTCTCAAGAGGCTTCTCCAACACCATAGTTCAAAAGCATTAAGTTTTCGGCGCTCAGCTTTCTTCACAGTCCAACTCTCCCTAGGCGTCATTTAATTTAATAAAGTTATGCTGATAAATGGTATCTACTGATGGGAAAAACAAGATGTTTAATCAAAGTGCCTGGCTTCATTCAAAGAGTTTGGTTGGTCCAAAAGCACATTTTGTCCATGTAATCAATTAACCCCTTAGAACTGTTTATGGTTCAGACTAGGTTACTGCTTCATATCTTTCAGCTCTTTAGCTTTTAATTGAATTATGTATTAATTGTTCTCATATATGAGATGTTCATTCTTTCTGAGCATGAAGAGATAAGGTAATGGTTTTCTCAAAATAAATAGATAGTGATGTTGATATGAAATGTTTAGATTTGAAGCCTAATCATTTAGGAGAGAGCCAAACTTCTAGCTGTTTTTCATGGTTTTGATTCTAGACATTGATCCTTTTATAAAAATATATATATCGCCTTTTGAAATTTTTACAATGAGGAACTTTTATTAATAATCCTGTTTTGGCATAAAAGCAACTTTCTTTTATTGTGGAGGAAAATAAGATGGTGTATGTGGAGCTGGGAATTCTTGTTATATTAATTCTTTGAAGCTTTTCATGGGAAGATTCACCTTCTTATACCTATGTTAGTTTGTCAATAATGTTTTGTTATATGGTTTATGTGCAGATTTAAGTATGTAAAATCTATGCTGTCTATAAGGATATTTTAGGATTTGGAATTTGTGTAATTATTTTCATGATTGTGTTCTAATTCATGAAAAAAATTGCATGGAGTAAAACTTAAAATTTTTTTTTCTTTAGCCAGATGAATTGTATTTTGAAGAAGGTGATATTATCTACATTACTGACATGGTAAGCCCAGTTAATATTTTTTCATACTATGCATGAACTAAAGATATATGACTATTTTTCAGTACTTTATTTACATATATAGCTATATAGAAATACATACACACAAGTCAATTCACTTAACACAATTTGTTAATAGCATAAGATTGGAAGTAACCCTATGTCCATCAGTAGGAAAATAGTTGAATGAACTTTGCTCTATATACAAAGAAAGTATTATTCAGCTATAAAAAGGAGTGAGGAATATCTCTATATAATATTATGGGGTAATTTAAGTGAAAAACAGCAAGGTGAAAAAATTGTGGATAGTGTGCCTTTTCTTATCTAAGAAAGGATGAGAAGATATACGTATACTTATTTTCCTCAATTTAAAATAAAAAGTCAAAGGAAGAGTTATACATTTTTAAAAAGTATTTTCCTCTCTGAAAGGAAAGGGAAATAGAATAGAGGAAATATATAGATGGAACAGAGACTTTTTAAAAAATTATACCTTGTTTTGGAGAGCACACTTTGGAATCATGTAAAACTTCTGTCTAGTTATAAAATTAAATGATAAAAAGCAGTACCTGGAAATGAAAAGCAGAATGAATCAAATGAACTTAGTTGTATCCCAGAGAGGTACAACACATGGAAAGGAACTATTCCAAGTGACTTTAAAACTCAGCATTTTGACTGAATATCTCTAGTCAGATAATATAAGGAACAGAGAGAACTGCCACCCCCACATTATAAACTGTTTTTAATCATGATGTTGTTGGAGAAGGGTTGGTATTGTTATTCTGAGATTGCTGCATGCGTGTTGCAGTTTAGAGCAAATGAGTCAGTAGGTCAATGATGTAGAAAACTAGGAATTTCAGCCTGCACGAAAGAGTAAACAGATATATATAAGATCAATGAAGTTAAGTAGCTCTACATTTGAATTGAAAGTGTGTTTTTTTTACGTAAAATAAACAAAAATATTTCTTAATCTGTCCTTTGAGTAGGCCAAAAAAAAAAAAAGACCATCCCAATAATAATATATTTCCCATTGAAAGGAAATAAGTTATTTTGAAAAATGTCTGGTACTAGGTTGAGAGCAGCAGAGGTACAAGATAAGCCCAGGACATCTTCCTCTTAGAAAGCAAGGAAGCCACCAAAGACTAGGAGGGTCACACTGCAAAAACACTGGAGCTAAATAGAAGAGGCTGCCACTAGTCAAAGACAGGACAATTTGAGCAATTAGGGCAACAATCCCAAGGATTGAAATACATCTACTCTGTTTAAATTCATGAGCTCCTAATGGTACTTAAAAACAAAACTAAACATCATTGGTCAACCTGAGAGAATGCTAGGGAACCAACTTTTTATTCTGGCAACTGTTAAGGAAAAGAATCAGTATTTCTTCTGCCTTTTCTTTATGAACTTTATCTCTGGGTCACGTGAGAGTTGATGAGGAAGTTTGTCTTTAAAGTAATATTCTTGTTATTTAAGGGCTTCCCTGGTGGTTCAGCAGTAAAGAATCCACCTGCAAGGCAGGAGACACAGGTTCAATTCCCGGGAAGATCCCCTGGAGGAGGAAATAGCAACCCACTCCAGTGTTCATGCCGTTGTCATTTCCTTCTCCAATGCATGAAAGTGAAAAGTGAAAGTGAAGTCGCTCAGTCGTGTCCGACTCTGCGACCCCATAGACTGCAGCCTACCAGGCTCCTCCGTCCATGGATTTTCCAGGCAAGAGTACTGGAGTGGGTTGCCATTGCCTTCTCCGTGCTGAAGTTGAATCTGAATCTAATTAAGCCTTTAGAACTAATGAACAATTTATAAACAATACGGGGAACAAAGGAACACATTTTTTTAATAACAAGGGACACAACATGCAAAATCCAGACTATTTGAAACTCTTTAGAGCAAACTATTTTCTTCAACAAGTATATTGTGAAGGAGTGAAAAAAAAAATATGAAGGTGGAAAATATAGACTAAAAGAGACTTAAGAGGCAAATCATCCAGTCATATTGTGTGGCCTTTATTATGAGACATATCAGAAATTTTGAATATTGTACATATATGATGATATTAAGGAATTGTAGAAAAAAAACTCTAAGCTGTGATAATGGTATTATCATTATGTCTTTGAGAAAGTCCTTATCTTTCAGAGATTCATATTGAAATATTTACAGATAAAGAATATGATGTCTAGAATTTATTTCAGGATAATCTGAAGGGGAGGGAAGTTGTAAGTGAGGTAATACATGAAACAGTATTGGCTATGAGTAAATAATTCATGCAGTTAAGAAATGGGTATGTGTAGGTTCCTTATATGATTCCTTCTACTTTGGTACAGATTTGCATTTTTTTTAATGATTAAAAAGTCACCAAAAAAAAAAAGTGAAATAAATAGATCTTTAGAAAATCAAATATATGTATATTTGAAACTAAGAAATTAGACTTTGGGCAAAAAAAAAAAGCCCAAGGCTAGTCTAAACTAAGCATAATTGTTTCACTTCTCTTTCATGTTATCTCTGTGTGATTTGTTGGAACATTGGAACTCATTGATGAAGTGTATTTGATTTGTTGCAGGCAGATGTGTGTATATTAGTAATTTAGTGATAAGGGGAATGGATAACCATAAGTAGGGAAACAGGAAGCTTGATCAATGTGACCAGGGCTGATGGACATTTGGTAAATCAATAACTCCACATTTGAATTGGAAGGATGCATTTTATTTAAAATAAGACAAAAACATCTCTTGCTGTAGCCTTTGAAAAGGCTAAAATGACACCAGCACGAACCACATGGTTTTAATTGAATGTGAACTGGATTTGGTGCCACTTAATTTAACTCTTCTTTCACCAGAGTGACAGCAATTGGTGGAAGGGTACCTGCAAAGGCAGGACTGGACTGATCCCAAGCAACTATGGTAAGACGGCTGCAGTGGCCTTACTTGGGCTGTATTTTGTGCATTCTCCATTATCTGATTCCTGAGGCCTTTCTTCTTTCTCCTGTGGCTGAGAAATTGATGGAGTCATTGCTAGTCTGGGACATTTTCTACTCTGAGCCTTCCCTTAATAGAGTGGTCATGGACCCTGGAGGTGCTTGAACTTGACTCTGGCTTAAGAAAATGCCCATTGTAACATTCTTGAAAGAACTTAAGGTTTCCAGGGAAATGCTTTTGGCTTTACTTTACTCGAGGTTAGAACATTTTTCTTTTTCTTTGCTTTCTCTTTTGTTTTTTAGACTAGCCCTTTCTTTAGTAAGTAACCTTGCCTTGTTATGTTAATTAATGTCTGGGGCAGTGATGTTCATTAAATGAATAATAGCACAGTGAAACGTGGCTCCTGCTATGAAGCCACTTCAGTTGCAAGGGGGACAAAGCAGACTTCCCTAGAAATCTGCCAAGTAGCAAGTGCACACAAATTGATAAACCAAGGGTCCCGGTTTTTAATTCTTCTTCTAACAATGAGGGACCTTACTTAAGGGACTTAACTGGTGCCCCTGGGACCATTTCTCCATCTGTATCATGAGACGTCTGATTCAAATCACTTCTAAGGTTCCTTTGGACATTGTAATTAGATACATCCTCAGACAAATAGTGCTTGCATCAGGCACTAGTTCCAAACACTGTAAGGTGACTTACAAAATTTCTAGGAAGCACTTCACAGTTCCTAGGGGAGGGGAGGGGAGAGGGGGAGAGGGGAAGGTTGCAAAGGAGAGGAGGGGAGGGGAGGAGATGGAAGAGGGAAGGGAAATGAGTGAGGCTAAGGCCCTTCACACAGAGCCCTCACTTACCTGGTCTAAGGGCCATACCATTCTGGATTTTAAAAGGCTTTAAACATTTCTACACTCCTCTTGGAAATCCCAAATAAACAACTTCTGTGCACTCCCTTCCCAGCTGCTCAGAGACACGGAGGGTGCAATATGTTCCTCAGTTGCTAGATCCTTGGTAGGCAAGGGAGTGTCCAGTTACAGCCCTCTGTGATGGGAGAGGTGCGTCTGAAGTCTCATTTGAGCAACAGTCTTCATGTGGTCACTCCTGCTGATTCTGGGACAGCAGTGAACACACCTTTCTTAGAGGCAGGTAGGCGTGCTGATTGCCCTTTCTGAATACAGAAAGCAAAATATTTCTCCTTTACCCCACCCGTCTTATGCATGCATACAAGGGAAACAATTATTTTCAGCCATCTTCAAAGCAGGGTGTTTTTAAAGAATGTAAAAATGAACCTCGAATGCTTTCTTTTGCAGTTTCCTGACTGAATTTCTTGTTGAAATATTTGAGCAAGCTAGTATGCAGGCCTTGGATCTATGTGTTTTTATTTATTGTTGTTGTTCAGTTGTCCAGTGGTGTCCAACTCTGCGACCCCATGGACTGCAGCCCACCAGGCCTGCCTGTCCCTCACCATCTCCTGGAGTTTGCACGAGTTCATGTCCGTTGTTTTTATTTATACTTCCAATTAATTGCTGCACTTATTTCTGTTTATACTCCCAGTTGATTGTTGTGTTATTGTCTTAACTTGGTTTCTTTTGAAAGCACAAAACATCACTTTGATTTTCTGCCATGTTTAAAATCCACAGTAAGTCAGGGTTGCTGTATGAGGGAAGGTCCTGGCATCTCTGAAGCTTGGGTACTAAGCTGGCTTCATGGGATCCTTTGGGTGGCCTTCTCAGCATCGACTTGCACTTTTTCTTTTCAATCTAGTGGCCGAGCAGGCAGAATCCATTGACAACCCATTGCATGAAGCTGCAAAAAGAGGTAGGTGTGATTCTTTTCGATTGAGATAAATAGTACAGTAAAACACACAGATAATAATTATATAGTTTGATGACTTTTGACGAATGTATACACCCGTGTAACCAACACCCAGGTCAAGATCCGGAACATTTGCATTATCCCAGAAAGTTCCTTTCCCAGTTAAATCCTTGCCTCCCACAAAGGCAGTCTCCATTCTGCCTTCTTTCACTCTACAGAAATGTGGGATTTTAATTTTTACCATGTCAACAAATACTTTGGAGCCCCTTACCTGCTCTGTGCTTAGTGGCAAGTGAAAGGCATGGTCTGTGACTTTCAGAGCTTCGAATCTGGCGGGGAGAGGTGTGTGTAGCACATCTTTACAAGACATTGTGATAAGGACACTGGTTGAAGTGTGGGTCAGTTAAACAGGCTATAGAGGCCAGAGTGAGTAACTGGCCTCACTCTGGGCAGAGGGTTGGGCCTTCTCAGGGGTCCAGGCTCTGAGAGAGTGTTGGTGAAGGGCTGGTATGTATGGGAGGGTGGACTTGGGGAGGAAGGGAGCACCAGAGATGGGATTTGTATTGGGCTGGCCAAAAAGTGTTTGGATTTTTTCTGTAAGATGTTATAGAGTACATGGGACTTGATCCTGTTGATCAGCGGTTCTCCACTGAAGAGTAATTCCTCTCTCCAGACTTCGGGACATTTGGCAATATCTGGAGGGATGCTGGCACCTTTTGGGTACAGGCTGGGGGTGTCACTCGACACCCTGCAGTGCAAAATACTGCTCCCGTAACAGAGACTCCTCCAGGCCAAATGTCAGCTGGACCACTGTTGAGAACCCTGCCCTAGATAATGGGGAGTTTTTGTCAGCCTACAGTAAGCTCCCATTTAATTTAGGTTTTATTGAAATCTGAATATATGAAAGGAAATTATTGGTTTAGGATTATGCAGAAATAGAACCACTAAATTGACATTTAAAATTTTCTAGATATTAAAAAAAA